TGTGTGTGTGTGTGTGTGTGTGTGTGTGTGTGTGTGTGTGTGTGTGTTTGTGTACACACATCTTCTTTATCCATTCATCTGTCAGTGGACATCTGGGCTCTTTCCATATTTTGGCTCTTGTGGACGTTGCTGCTCTAAATGTTGGAGTGCATGTGCCCCTTTGAATCACTATGTTTGTATCCTTTGGATAAATAGCTACTAGTGCATTTGCTGGGTCATAGGGTAGCTTTATTTTTATTATTTTTTAAGATTTTTTTTTATTTATTTATTGAGAGAGAGATAGAATGGTAGAGAGAGAACATGAGAGGGAAGAAGGTCAGAGGGAGAAGCAGACTCCCCGCTGAGCAGGGAGCCCGATGTGGGACTCGATCCCAGGACTCCAGGATCATGACCTGAGCCGAAGGCAGTTGCTTAACCAACTGAGCCACCCAGCACCCCTGAGTAGCTTTATTTTTAACTTTTTGAGGAACCTCCATACTGTTTTCCAGAGTGGCTACACAGTTTGCATTTCTAAGTATGTTTCTTAAATATTTGTTGAAGGAAGCATTTGTGTGTCAAGTTAGTTTCTGCATTATCTTTTAATTCTCGTGGTTTCTTTTAGGAGAAGAATCCGTTGTGAAAACATTATGAATGTTTTATATATATTCATATATATATTCATTATAAATGAATATTAATATTTACTTCAAGGATCATATTACCTTCGTCACATACAATACATAACTTCTTTAAGAAAATGTAAAGGGTGTCACACGAACTTTGTCTAGCTGTCATCCTATTACATGCCTGTATTAACATTGACTGAGTTTAGTGTACGTTGTTTTTGGGGGCCTCATTGCATGGCTAGGGTAAAAAAGTTAAGCCCAAAATTCACTAATTTGCCTCTTTGGGTTCTATTTAAAAACAAAATTCAGAAAACCCTTTAAAAATTTTTTATTTGCCCTTGTTGAAAATTAGGGGAAAAGAAAGAAAAGAGAAAAATAAAAATTACTTGCAATCCCACCACCACTAGTTATTGGTGATTTGGGGGAAAAACTGACTAATATGCTGATTGATTTCTCACAGTTTAGCTGGTACAGTGAAAAGAAGAACATGGAATATTGGAAGGGAAGCAGAAAGCACTGCTAAGCCCAAGAATTGCTTCTAAATGTCTGGTGTGAATGTCCAAGTGAGGACTGGAAAAGTTGTAGGGAAGCCCTGGTGCCAAGCCCCACTCTGCTGGACTTTCCTACCAGTAGGATCACCACATATTAGTGCCGTTACTTAGCTTACTCGGGAACACTTCTGTGAATATACACACTGACATTGTGATTCTTTTGATGACACTTAGCAAGAGTGTCATTTTAGAAATGTTTCATGTAACAAGGAAAGAATTAGGCTTGATAGAAAGTGTTTATGCTTGTCAAGGGAATCTCTCAGTGGCTGGCCAATTGTACTTTGGGTCAAAGCAGTACAGAGTAAAATTGGCCATGTCAAATTCAGTTTTCTGTGAATGCCATTTGCTAAAGTGGAATTTATTTTAAAATTTGAGTAGACCTTTAAGAATCTATTTTAAGGGGCACCTGGGTGGCTCAGATAGTTAAGCATCTGCCTTTGGCTCAGGTCATGATCCCAGGGTCCTGAGATCGAGCCCTACATCGGGCTCCTGGCTCAGCAAGGAGCCTGCTTCTGCCTCTCCCCCTGCTCATGCTCTCACTCTATGTATCTCTGTCTCAAATGAATAAATAAAATCTTAAAAAAAAAAGAATGTATTTTAAAATTATACCTCATGCTCAGATGTAGAAGGTGGTAAAAAAGTACATGGAATGATAATATTGGATTTTTTAAACATTGTAATTTAGGGAGGGTCAGTGTTCCTTGTCTGGTAAGCTACTGTAGCTACCCTTTATTTTTCCTGGGGCAGAACAAAAGTAGTTTTGTTTAGTAAGTTAAAGTGATTGTGGTTTCCTAGCTTAAGAAAAACACTGTATGTATATATAGATATCTAAGTTGTTTATTTTGTTAGAAACCCATTAAAGAAATTCCCATATGTGCGATTATGAGACTATTTAGTCACTCTGGGACTGTTTAAACTTATTCCTGTAACTTAGTTTTGATGTCAAGGTCATTACTGCCATTACTTAATACCTTACAAAGAAATTAAAGGGATTGAATGGATAGGTTCCATGGTAAGGATGTGAAGATTACAATTTTGGCCTGGGGACATAAAAGAAATTTAGAATTGTAGCTGTCTGGTCAATTTACTGCTTCATTGATTGGGTTGCTGAAAGTTGATTAAGTTTCTAGAAGTAAAGTGCTTTTACCAAACACTAGTAATGGGAATCTATCCCACAGAGTTCTTCTGTGAAATTGTGTTGGTGTTAACATGTTCATAATCTACTTTGATATAAGAGTTAGAAAATAGAGCTTTCAGTTTTTGTCATTCTTATTTGTTTGAAAGTTACAGGCCTAGAAGCAGCTCTATGGTATGAACCAGTGCCACTCAAATGACAGTCCGTGGTGAGATGGAAAGCTTTCAGCAGAATGTAAATCAGTATATTGCATCCTAGAAAGTTTTGCTACATAAAAAATGCCAGCTGCACGGAACAGTGTGTTTGGTGAGGTCATTGCTTCACATTCTGCCTCAAGCTCCTTATATTGTGCTAGATTGCTGTAGCTCCAGCCTGTGTGCTGATCATGCTTGCAGGAGTACCAGCATAAACCAGCTCCAGCCTGTGTGCCGATCATGCTTGCAGGAGTACTAGCATAAACAATTCATTTTGTAATTGAATGCTTTTAGTGTTTTCTGATTACATTGTTGGGCTTGGGTTGGTTTTAATGGCCATTTCTGCTGGTGTTAACTTGTAATGCCATGCAGAGCAGGTTGACCTGATGAAATGAGTAAGGAATTTGGAGTCCTGGCTCTGCTTCTTTTCTGCTGACTGGCCTTGGACAAATAGTCTAACTTCTCTGAGCCTGTTTCATCATGTGTAAAATTGGGATATAATGTCTATGTCCCAGGGTTGTTATGAAGAGTGAGTTACTATTTAAGAAAGCTCTTTGAAAATTCAATTGTGTCTCAAACGATCTGTTATTTCAGCTCTTTCTTCTATCACCCATACAGTTTCAAACCTTGGCTCCCATTTCTCTGCCCAATGCCATTCTTCACTCTCAGCATTTAACCTCTTTTTTTCTCCTTTTTTTCCTTAAGAAATTTCAGTATTGGTGAGTGCCCATTATGAACCGGACCTTGGTACAGAAATAAAAATAAGCAATCTTATCTTTACATTTAATATTTATGCTTGCCATGTGTAGTAAGTAAAAAGAAAAATGATTCTCTAAGGCTGGTAAGAAAAAATAGTAATCACCTGCCCACCCCTCCGAAGCTGGGATTCTGGCTTCTCTGAAGCGGTCATTTTAATGCCTTTAATTCTTTCTTTTGGTATTTTCCCCATGTTTCTAAGTGGCATTCAATACTGATTTTTCTTAATTTTCAGTTTTAGTTATTTATCTAATGACTTGCTACTATGAGAGATAAGAGTTTTGCTCTTTTACATACAATTTCCATCCCCTTATCCTGTCAGGATTATAGGTCTTAATTTTTGGTTAGATCAGTATTTAGTATTTATATCATTAAGATGGTAAATATTATTCACATTGAGTCAGATAGTATAATGATAAACTTACTTATACAATTTTTTGTTTTCTTGGGAATTAATAATTATCTCATTTTCATTTGCTTTTTTTTTTTAAAGATTTTATTTAATGAAAGAAAGAGAGAGCATGAGGGGGGGAGGGTCAGAGGGAGAAGCAGACTCCCTGCTGAGTAGGGAGCCTGAGGCGGGACTCCATCCTGAGACTCCAGGATCAGGACCTGAGCCAAAGGCAGTTGCTTAACCAACTGAGCCACCCAGGCGCCCTCATTTGCTTTTTAAAAATGTACCTACCACTGATTCTTCCCAAACTCTCTGACACAAGTGTAAGTCTTCTCTGTATCTTCAGATATATCAGGTAATCTATCCATTTCTTCTCCTTCTTTTATTTTTTCTCTTTTGTGGAGCTTGCCATTCTCAAATAAGGATAAACTATTCTCTAGGTTAGCTGAATAGCTGTCATTTTGGCAATTCCCTTCACTATTATTCTGGAGTTTTCTTTGCTTTTCTCCTTTTTGTCTCTTTGTATTCTGTCATCTTTATTTATTTCTCCATTTTTGATAGAACATACTTTTGAGATCTTATATATATAAAATATCATTATTCTCTTTTTACATCTGATTGAAAGTTTGATTGGCTGTAGAATTCTGCTTGCAAAGTAAATTTTACTCGGTATGTTTTTAGTTAAATATGAATCTTTCGGACTTTAACATCTGGTAAGGACAGACTAGTTATTTTGGACCAGCCCACCCACTGAGACCAACTAGGTAAGCTAAATTAAAAAAAAAAAGTCGACTTGAAGTAGAGTGTTAAACAAGCTAGTGAAGAATTTACCAGGCCAGGATCTCTGCTGGCTAGAGATTGAGGGAGGAGCCCGGGGCTTGGGGCAGTTATTAGCTGAAACTAGAGAAGGTAGCTCAGAGGATAGAGGCTAAATGGGGTTTTTGATAACTTCAGAGTGCTAAGAGAATAAAAGATTTGGTGTCCCAGGCGGCTCTGAACCCCTCCTTACTTTGGATTGGGACCTTGAAAGGCAGCACCCTATGAGGAAGGATGGGCTGGATATAGAACAGGCCCTCTTGAAATTGCCACTCAGCCACAGACATTTGAATTTCTGAAATCAGCATAAGGTGATCTTAAAGTGCCACTGTCCCTAGGCATCTCCAAAGTACTAAGGCTTCCAGGAACCTGGAAAAAGCAAGCTTAAGTTTTCTCCAAAGGGAGGGAAAAAACACCATTCTGGGGCTTAAATTATTTCTTCAAATAATTTTGCAAATACAATGCTTGATACCCACTCAGAAAGTAACCCCTGACACAGAAGGACAAACAACAAAAATGCAAAAAGGCAGAAGCAACAGAAGATAGAAACAGACCCATGGCAAATCTAGATACTGGCATTACCATGCTCTGACTTTGCAATAGCTATGTTCACTGTGGTCAAGGGGATAAAAGATAAGATTGAGCGCTTAAAGAAAGAGTGGAAAACCATAAAAAAAGTGAAATGAATGGAAATTATAATATTGAAAAGTAAAGTAACTGAAATTAAGGCCTTAAAGATTAAAATATAATTAATGAACTTGAAAATAGGTCAGAAGAAAATGTTTAGAATAAAACACGGACAAATGATGGAAAATCCAGGGGAAAGATAAGAGAAAGAAATTGCAGTGAGAAGGTTTAATATGAGTGTTTTTGAAAAACCTTGAAGGAGAAAAAGGTGCGAATGGGCAGAAGCAATATTTGAAGATAAATTAACTTAAGATTTTGCCAAAAGTGAAGAAGGCTATGTATTTAAGGAGTCTGAGAATCTCAAGCAAGATAAATAAAAAGAAGTATTTACCTAGGTTGAAAGCTAAAAACAAAGAGGAAGTCTGAAAAACAATCAAGGAAAAAAAAGATTAACAAGAAAAAAAGACATATCTACAAACAGCTCCAAATAGCTGACTTGTCTGCTAAAACAGTGAAAGCCAGAAGACAATAGAATGATCCTTACAAAGAAATGACTTTTCCCCCCCTGCCAAACCAAAAATCTATACCCAGAGTAAAGATAAAATAAAGACATTTTCAGATCAGTAAAAATTCAGAGAATTTGTTATTGACAGACCCACACCAAGGAAATACTAAATATTCTTCAGGCAGAAGGAAAATGATCTCAAATGGAAAGTCAAGAGATAAAGGAAGAAATGAAAGGCAACAGTAAATACTTGGGTAAATCTAAGTGAATGTTGACTGTATATAACAACAGTAGCCTTTCAGCTTAACATATGTAGAATTATAATGGCATTTAAGTCTGGCTGGGGGATAAATGGAATTAAAGTATTTCTGTAGTCCTTGGGTTGCCTGGGAGTGGGTAAAATGACTAATTAACATTACATTTGTTAAGTTGCAAACCCATGTTTTAATCTCGAGAGAACTGTTAAAAGTATCATTGATATATTAGTGGAGTATATATTTTACAATCCAGGAGAAAAATGAAATGATAAGAAGTTATCATTTCCAAAGAAGGCAAGAAAAGTGAGAAAAATGGCTCATATAGCTTATTAAGTACACATTGCACTTAATAAGATGAGACATTTAAATCCAGATGGAGGTTTCTCCTGCTGTCTGAAAGGTCGCCTTACACCACTTTGCTTTTACGAAAGACTTATCGGTACTTGTTTTTGCTAGCTGAAAGAAATATGAAGAAGATTTTTACTTTTATGAAACGATCGTTGCTTCTTTGCTGTAGCCATTTTGACTTGCAAAAGGTTTCATAGGAACACTACTTTCAGATAATGGGGGGCACCTTGTAGGTCTATTAAGTGTAATTGTATACAATGGCCTAATTAAAAGATGAAAATTGTCCAGTTGGGTAAAAATAATTAAACTCAATTATTTGGTGTTTATAAAGATACAGCAAAATTGAATTGTTCTTATAAGAAATTTTTTAGAAGTCTTTTTTCTTTTTTTAAAAGATTTTATTTATGTATTTGACAGAAACACAGTGAGAGAGGGAACATAAGCAAGCGGAGTGCGAGAGGGAGAAGCAGTCTTCCCGCTGAGTAGGGAGCCCGGTGCGGGGCTAGATCCCAGGACCCTGGGATGACCTGAGCCGAAGGCAGATGCTTAATGACTGAGCCACCCAGGCGCCACTTCTGTTTTGTTTGGTTGTTGTTGTTTTTTAATTGAAGTAAAACATATATTAGTTTCAGGTGTACAATGTAATGACTCAGCTTTTGTATTTATTGTGAAGTGATCACCACAGTAAGTCTAGTTACCATCTGTCACCGTGTGTACTTACAAAACTTTTGTGTGTGAGATCAGAACTTCTATTGCCCCAAAGATTTAGATGCCTCTATTTTCTCCTTTATTGATATTACTTATTAGAATATGAGCGCTAAGGTATTTGGTGATTGATAGTTTTTATTTTATTTTAAATTAATACATACAATATTACATTAGTTTCAGGTATACAACATAGTGATTTGTTATTTATATACATTACAAAATGCTCACCGTAAGTATAGTTACCATCTGTCACTATAGAAAGTTATTATAGTATTATTGACTATGTTCTCCATGTTGTACTTTTTATCCTTGAGAGTTATTTATTTTATAATTGAAAGTTTGTAGCTCTTAATTCCCTTCATCTATTTTGCCCATCCCCCTGCCTTCCTCACTTCTGGCAACTACCAGTTCTCTGTGTTTATGAATCTGTTTCTGTTTTGTTTTGTTTGTTTTGTTTTTTAGATTCCACATGTAGGTGAATGATGAGAAGTTTTAAGACCTGTTTCTCATTTGTTTTGTTTTTGAAATTGCCATTCTGTATTGTGATTATTACCTAGTGTTCCCCATTCTCCCTCTCCCTCCTCACTTATTAATAGATGAAATTCTAACCAGTTATGGAGAGACGTAGAGAATGACTAATGGATATTGATGGAGGTGAGGGCTGGTCATGAACCAGCTGTGGCTGGTATCAAACCATTGAAAAATGGGTTAGGATAACGTCCTTATTCTGGTTGGTGGAACTGATTTCTCTGAAGTGAGGTAAATGGTTAAGCAGTTTCAAGTCTCTTGCTGTCTTTCCATCTGACATTACTATTCTGTACTTTAATTTCTATAATTTTTTTCTTGAAGCCTCACTGATTTTTTTGTTCAATATCTTAGTTTCCAAGGTTGTTATAATGTTGTATATCTTAATTTTTTTATGAGTTTTTTTAATAAAAAATGTTGGGGAGAATAAATCCAACAGAGCAAGTTTTCATCTAAACCTAGAAATTTTAGAAAGGTTATTAAATAATTAGATGTTTGACTTCCTAAGAAGTGTGGGGTATTACGATATACGGTTCAGAACTTGTTTTTATGGAAAGGTACAAAGGTTATTTCCTATTTTTATGTTTCAGAGATATTGTTTCAATGCCAATAATGAAAAATACTGCCATCTTTTTGCTTCTAGGTTGTAATGTTGCATCAACAGGTAGAAGAACATGAAAAAGTCAAACAAGAGATGGCCATGGACTATAAGCAGGAGTTAAAGAAACTACATGAAGAAGTGAGATTTTAATTCTGTTATGTGTTGTATAATTCTGTCTCTTTAACCATTAGAATTTTGTTAATGTGCCCATTTCTACTTGATAAAGTGGGAAGTATATAAATTTTTTTTTTTTTAAAGATTTTATTTATTTATTTGAGAGAGAGAATGAGAGATAGCACAAGAGGGAAGAGGGTCAGAGGGAGAAGCAGACTCCCCGCCGAGCAGGGAGCCCGATGTGGGACTCGATCCTGGGACTCCAGGATCATGACCTGAGCCGAAGGCAGTCGCTTAACCAACTGAGCCACCCAGGCGCCCAAAGTGGGAAGTATATAATCCATGGGAGTTACAGGGGTAGAAATCTATTTCTCTGTTCTTTAAATTCAGGCAGAAGAGACTTGTTGAATTATATATTTGGTACTATCCAAGCAGGGATTCTAAAATGTGTTTCTCAGTTGAGTACCTGAAAGAAATAAAGCTGTTTTTGTATAATACTATGAAATATTGATACCAGGAACCTATATTAAATATTTTAATTTTGAGTTAAATCAGTTACTAGATTTTAAATAATGGAGAATCCAATATATTCAGAAGCATTTTGGGACAAATAAGAAAAGTAAGAATTCTAGCAACTCAATATTATTCTTCAGATTGGGAAAAAAAAATGCTTTTTTTTTTTTACTTTGTTCCAAAATACTCCTCTCCTGCTTATTGAATATCAGTGTTCCACAGGAGAATGGCTCAAGAACCACAGAGGAGAGGAGTTTTTATTTGCTGCTTTTATCATGGGTTAGTTTATGGGATCCTTACGTGCAAGGCCACTGTAATAAAAATTAAAGTTTTGTTTAAAGAGTATCTTTCCCTCAGTTTTTTTTGTTCAGTACAATGTCTTTCTCTCCTAGTGTTTATTTTTTATATACAGGTTTGAATTGTTTTAATTTGCAAATCTAACACGCTCAGTCTATTTTCAATAGTACTGTTCAGCACTGCTCTTGCTTTCATGATACCAATATGTTCCACCACCACTGTTTACAAATTCTTAAATTTTAAGTCTAGAAATAACTGTGTCTACAGTTAGGCAGACTGAAGAGAAGCTATGAAAAACTACAGAAAAAGCATGTAAGGGACTTCAGAGGAAATGCCAAAAATCACAAGGAAGATCGCTCTGAAATTGAGCGGTTAACTGGAAAAATAGAGGTATGTTCATAATAATTTCTTCCTAGTGGTTGTCAACCTTACTGCAGGAAGGTGCTGTTTCTAGTAGTACTAGTTCTGAAATCGATTTTCTGCCATCTCCAGGACTGCCCTGGAGCTATTTCAGAGGTACATCCTGTCATCACCTGGTCGCCTGGGGTTGATGGGGTTACTAGTTCTCAGTAGTTCTCAGTAGGGCAGTACCACCCTTTGAGGGCATTTGGAAATGTAATGGAGACATTGCTTTGGTTGTTCAAATGACTGGGAGTGAAACTGGTGTTGAGGGGACAGGAACCGGGGACACTAAACATGCCCAGGACCATTCCACACAGGGAGAATTATTGTACCCAGAATGCCAATATTGAGAAATACTGACCACCAGTTCCCAGCAGTCCTCCCTGGGCAGTGTTCTCATCTTATTTATCACCTAACAGGGTTGGGGCTTAGTAAATGTTGAAAGTACATGGCTTTTTGTACAGAGTACTGGGCATCTCAGGTTGTTTAGCCTCAGTTCCCATTCAGATGTAATAAGCCATTTACTCCCCTCTTTGCTGACTTTGTTTTTATTAAGGCTGAGTAACTCTGGTTATTGTGTATGTTGATTTCCACACGACTTACCGGAGGTGGCGAGTTAACACTGCCCAAGGTGGATGAAGCAACAGTGCAGGGCTGTCACTCTTTTCCCTTGCATCTGCCACTGCCCTCCTCTGTCCATGCCATTGGTTCTCCAGGGTACCTAAGACTCCCCAGGGTCCTCTTTAGGCTGTCAGAGATTCTGCTCCAGTAGTATGACAATGGGACCTAGGAATATGCATTTTATCCACTTCCCCTGGCTGATTGCAATTTGAGAAACATCGTTCAACATCTCTCTATGATTGCTTACAATTTGTCAGGGCGACCTTTCACCCACAAAAATGCCATTATTACAACTTAGCATTGTAATTTCTGTATTTAATGTTCTTTTACATCTTACTGTTTTGATCCATCTGAAGAGCTTAGACTCGGAGGGCTATGCTACTGCTTTCTCTCCAGCCATCTTCTGTGACATCTGTGCTTTTTTCTCCCAAACCCTGCATCTTCCTCTTACCGCTCATTATCATTCTCTTTTATTTCTACCTCAAAACCTCATCTTTGATTTTCATGTCATCAGCCTGTACCCCCAACCAGTATACATACAACCAAAGTAGCCATCTTCTGATCCCCGAGTTACTTCCTGGCCCAGAGGTTTCAGCTCCCAGGGCATTGTCACTCTCTCCAGTGTTACACTTGTCATAATTCTTGAGGATTTCAGTATCCACAGGGATGATGCTTATAAACCCTGCTCTTTGAATTCCTAGGTGTTCTTTCCTCCATGGACATCTTGATCTCCTCCTTGTCTCATCTACCCATTCCCACTGCCATTCCTTGGGTGTCGTCATTACCAAACTTACAACCTTCCTGGAATCACATTTTTAATCATCTCATTCTTTAACTACCATCCTTCTCTTTTTAGCTCATTCCCTTTAGTCTCAATAATCTCTTGACTGTCAATAATCACTTGACCCCATCCCCAAGTGGTTGAATTCTGACACCTTTTCACTGCTGGAGAGCTACCTCATGTCCTCACGCATCAGTCCTTACACAGCTTAAATTCCATGGTTACATTCCTTACATTCCCCTTCAACTCTTGTGTCCCTTTCTTCCTTCATCATATTTGCTTGGCAAAACCATAACTCTAGTTAAATCCAGCTTTCTGCCCGCTCTCTACTTGCCATGTTTAACAGAACATGGCTGGAGAAAAACATAGTCATGCTGATTGGCCTCATTTTAAATTCATGGTCACTTACCTCAAAGAGTTCCTCATGCTTCCTAGAATCATACTACATTTCCCCTCACTTTGCTACTTTCCATAATGACTGTTTTATACTTTCTCTTTTCTCAAACTTTCAACTCTTTCCCCCACATTCTCACCATTGGGTGATGATCTTGCTTTCCATTTCATTGAGAAAATGGAAGCAATAAAGAAGAGAATTTTCACAGACTTCCAACACTGGGTCTGCCCAACTATGTGCATCTCTGTCCATATACTCTGCCTTCCTGCTGGTGGAACTGTCCATACTCTCCCCAGCCCCTACCCAAGACATGGCTCCAGCCATTCTTCTCTTTTTTGCTTCCTCCCTTCCTCCCTACTGGATGTTTTCCACCACCATCCAGATTTCTTCCCTCTTAAATATCCTCTCTTGACCTTTCTCTTCCTCTGGATGCTGCCCCATTTTTTTCCCTTCATTTTATAACTAAACTGCTTTAGGCATCTGTACCTGTCTCCAGTTCCTTTTTGTCCATTTTCTTGCATCCACTCAATAAGGGTTTTGCCCCGTCACTCTCTGGAAGCTATTTACATGTAGGTCACCAATGAGTTCCACCTTAAAACACTTTCTTGATTTGACTTAGAGATGACTTAGAGAACAACCACGCTTTCCTGGGCTTTCTCCTACCTTGTTAGCTATTCCTTCTCAATCTCTTTTGCTCCCCAACCTTTTAACATTGGAGTACCCTGGGGGTTGTATCATTGGACCTCTTCTTTTTTTGTATCTATGCTCACTCCCTTAGTGATATCATTCAGTCTCATAGTTTTTAGCACTGTATATATGTCGATAATTCCCACATTCATATATCCAGTCTTGATTTGTCCTTTTTGCTATACAATAATTTCCAACTGCCTGTTTCAGCTGTTTCACAGCTCCACCTTGATGTCTAAACCCGTGTCAAACTTGACATGTCCAAAATAAACTTCCTGGTTTCCTCTTCCCCATCTCCCAACACCATTCCTGTTTAATGGCAACCCCATTCCTCAACTTTTCAAGCTGAAAGCCTTAGCGTGACCCTCGACTTCTCTTTTCTCCACACAGCAGCTGGAATGATTCTCTTGTAAGTCAAAGCATGTTCTCTCCTTTACAAAAACCTTCCAGTACCTTCTCTTAAAAGCCAAAGTTATCCTGATGACCTACATAGTCTCACTCCTTGTTAACTGACCTTTCTTTACCTGCTTTTCCCTTTACTCCATTTGAGCCACACCAGCCTCCTTGCTTACCCTTAAATGTACCAGGATGCTTCCACTTCAAGCCTTTGTACTTCCCTTTTCCTTCCCAGAATAGTATAATTTCATCCCCATTTCCTTGGGAGTTTACTTAAATGCCACCCCTTTTTAAAATTGCAACCCCCATCTCTGTGCACTCCATGCTCCATTTTCTCCAAAACAGGTATGATCATCTAATGTATTATACAATGAATGTGTTGCCTATTGCCCATTGAGTTGGGCTTGACTTTTTGTTTTGTTAACTATGGTAGCCTTACCACTTAGAACAGTTCCTGGCATTTTTGGAGAATGAATGAGTGAGTGACTTTCAGAAAGCTGATTAACAGTGATTATCCCAAACTAGTTTGAGACTGCTGGAGTTGAGGGTCCTGGAGGACTGCGATAGAAATCCCTTTGATTTGCCCCATTGTCATAAATATTGGGCTCATTTTCTTATCAACTGGAAGTGATCCATCATTAATTTTGACTGTTTGGCTTTGGGTTACAAATATCTGTTAGAATTTAGTACAGATATCTCCTTGTAATTCAAGTCTTTGCAGTTCTTCTGTTGAGATAGTAAAAATTTGGATATCAAAGGGTATTATATTATCTGAATCTATTTCATTCTTGAATTTCAGATACTAGAAGTAAGAATTGGGCTACCCAAGGACTCATCTGAAAATTTATTTGATCTGTTCAATTTCTGGGTTTGGATATCAAGAATTTGGATAGTGGGATCTCCCCATAATCATATTTTGAGATTTTAGTTCTCTTAAGATCAGTTTTCTGAAAAATCACTAACAATGATAACAACCTTTAGGTGGCAGCAAATCTATGAAAATAATCACGAACCTAGGGTTTAGCATCTGTGTTTCATACTCTTCACTATTAGTGTGTTAAATTTAGGAAGACAGATATCCAGAGGCACAGTATGTCAGGAATTTAGTATTGCTCTACAATTCTGTCAGCTAAGTGAGTAATGGGGCTCCTGCTGGGGAGAAAGGTGCGTGTGTACCCAGGGAGGAGGGGAAAAAATTAAAAGTGAATCTGGGAAGCAGGGACTGCAAGGGTAAGCACTTACAAGTTAAGTACCTTAATTGCCTCTTCAGGAATTTCGTCAGAAATCACTGGACTGGGAGAAGCAACGCTTGATTTATCAGCAACAGGTGTCTTCTCTGGAGGCACAGAGGAAGGCTTTGGCTGAACAATCAGAGATAATTCAGGTTGGTTTAAGCCATTTTAAAATAATGAGAGGTGGAGAAGTCTTGATGGCATTGGCACTAGCTTAATGTCGTCCCCGTTTGCTCACTCATGTCCGTCCACACATGTCTTCGTGCCACATGCTCTTTTGCTTGCTCGCTCCTCTCTCATGCTCTCTCTTGCCCCCTCTGTCTTGCTCACTCCACCCTCACACTCATGTCACTCTCCTGGTCTTGGTTTTCCCTTTTTCTGCCCTTCTGTCCCTCCCCTTCTCTCTCTTTCTACCTCGGTTCTTTCTTTGTCTCCCTTTCCATTTCTTTGGGTCTCTGGCTTACTAGTCTGGCTGTTTCTGGCTTTTGCCTTGGCTCCACTTCTGTGTCTTGCTCCATTTCTAGTAACTGGGGTACCTTGGCCGAGATGCCTCAGCCAGGGAGCTTCAGCCCGGCTACCTGTTGGCCTACAGCTACCAAGAGATTCACATTGCATTGATAAGCGTACTGACTAAAAGCAGTATCTTTGTGGTAACAGAAACACTTTTTAGAACTCTAGTTAAAGAATGGGAGAAGATATTTGCAAATGACACTACGGATAAAGGGCTGGTATCCAAGATCTATAAAGAACTTCTCAAACTCAATACCCAAAAAACAAATAATTCAAAAAATGGGCATAAGACATAACAGACACTTCTCGAAGAAGACATTCAAATGGCTAACAGACACATGAAAAAATGTTCATCATCATCAGCCATCAGGGAAATTCAAATCAAAACCACATTGAGATACCACCTTACACCAGTTAGAATGGCAAAAATGGACAGGGAAAGAAACAACAAATGTTGGAGAGGTTGTGGAGAAAGGGGAACCCTCTTACACTGTTGGTGGGAATGCAAGTTGGTACAGCCACTTTGGAAAACAGTGTGGAGGTGCCTCAGAAAATTAAAAATAGAGCTACCCTATGACCCAGCAATTGCACTCCTGGGTATTTACCCCAAAGACACAGATGTAGTGAAAAGAAGGGCCATATGCACCCCAATGTTCATAGCAGCAATGTCCACAATAGCCAAACTGTGGAAAGAGCCGAGATGCCCTTCAACAGATGAATGGATAAAGAAGATGTGGTCCATATATACAATGGAATATTACTCAGCCATGAGAAAGGATGAATACCCAACTTGTACATCAACATGGATGGGACTGGAGGAGATTATGCTAAGTGAAATAAGTCAAGCAGAGAAAGTCAATTATCATATGGTTTCACTTATTTGTGGCACATAAGGAATAGCATGGAGGACATTAGGAGAAGGAAGGGCAAGAGGAAGGGGGGGCGGAAATCTGAGTGAGAGATGAACCAAGAGAGACTGTGGACTCTGAAAAACAATCTGAGGGTTTTAGAGGGGCGGGGGGTGTGGTGATGGGTTAGCCCAGTGATGGGTATTAAGGAGGGCACGTACTGCATGGAGCACTGGGTGTTATACGAAAACAATGAATCGTGGATCACTACATCAAAAACTAATGATGTATTGTATGGTGACTAACATAACATAATAAAATTAAAAAAAAATCTTTTTTTAAATGAAGAACTAGTGACTTAAGCAGAACCAAAAAATATCTAATTTAGGGATATTTCTTCTTAGAACATACTATGTTTGCTTTTTCCATTAAAAACCAAGAACATAAAAGGAAATGAACACAGGGGAATAAATATTTGTGACCATCTATTCTGTGCTAGACACAGTCTCAGTGCTTCTTCCAGATTTCAGTTATCTAGAATATGTGGTTCTATGTTGTCTGTTTAATATCATGATAATCTGTCAAGGTTAGTAGTTATCTCAGTTTTCTAGAATGAGGGAATTACTCGATAAGTTGAAAGAGCTGAAGGGAAGCTCTAAAAATTAAAAAAAAAAAAACAACCAATCTGTATTATTTGCTGCTTTAACTCTCAGTAATGTTTTGGCTTGTAATCATTCTCCTGAAATTTCAGGAGGTAAAGTACCGTGAATGGCTCTGCTGTGAGTGACTCCACTCAGGATTGCAGGGGGGCCCACAGTGACCTCAGGGAAGAAAATTATTTACTAGGCTGCAGCAAGCTATGCAGTCAGAGTGGGCCAATAAAATCCTGGATGTCTAGACCACAGTTTTTTCATCTGAATGCTAAAGCACTGTGCAAACATAAATAGCTATAAGATATTGTTATACTCTAATTGTAGCCTTCAGATTGGGGAAAAAAGAAAATCAAGTCCTACTTTTTAGTTTTCAATTACTCATCTGTGGAGTGTGCTTATTATTGATGCAAATCCTTTTTTCAAATTACTATTGTGATTACTTTGCATAATTAAACTTCATTGCTAGTAAAAGTGAGATTTTTGTTTACCATAATTCAGCTAGGCCAGAATAAGAAGCCTTTAAAAAGCCAACATTTGTTTTCCCTACTAAGGGTATTTGAATTGTTCTCCTGATAGTTTGTTTAAAACTACTCTCCCTGCTTAATTCAAAAAATATTACTGATACTATATTTCTCTTTCCCCCTAAGCAAACTAAACAAAACTAAATCTTTCTGTGATTCAGTATGTGGCAGTGCTGTATGATCATCATTTAAAAAAACTAACTTTTAAATAAATTTCTGGATAGCTGTTACCCAGCATTAATAGTTACCATCATTTTGCTAGGGCTTTTTTTTTTTTTTATTGTGGTAGAAAACACATTAAAATTTACCATCTTAACCATTTTAAAGAGTATATTAATGTTAACTCTGTGCATGTTGTTGCGTAACCGAGCTCTAGAACTTGTTCTACTTGCAAAGCTAAAGACTGTACCAAACAAACTCATTTTGCCAGTCTTGTTTCATCCTTCCCCACTTTTTACCTTTGGCTGGAATATTACAAAGCAAATCACAGAAATTGTCATGTTTCCCAACAGATAAGGACTTCAAAAAATTGTAACAGAATAAATAATTTATTAACATAATTTAATATTCAGTCTGTTCAGACTTCCCCAGTTGTTCTGAAATTATGTCTTTGTACAGTTGAATGTTCAAATTGGAATCCAGTCAAGGTTGACATGTTATATTTTGGTGATCTGTGAGTCACCACTGAACAGTCAAGGGAGAAAATCTGGGAAATTGGATAAATGGGGATCAACATCCACACTTCCCCCAGTTTTTAAAAACTTGATAGCAACTTTTTTCTTATGTATTTTTTAACATCTGCAAGTGGACTTCACAATAAATTCTCAGTCTTTGAGTCCTTGTTTGTTCAAGTTCTTTTCATCAGCTATTAAAGTTATAGAATACATGTTCATTTTAGAAAAATGAGAAAATGTCAGTGAGACAGGAATTAAATAAAATCACCCATAATTCCATAGTTTAGAGATCTATCATGATTAACATTTTGGTGTAAATTTCTTCCAACTTTTTCTATGCTTCTATGTAGTGTACATTGTAGTCATGTACATTTACTAGAAAAACACTCGTGTGTTTGGGGGGGAATATGTTCGGTTTCTAGATTCCACATATAGGTGAAGTCATACAGTATTTGTCTTTCTCTGTCTGACCTATTTCACTAAGTATAATGCCTTCTAGGTCCATCCATGTTGTCACAAGTGGCAAGATTTCATTCTTTTTTTTATGACAGGGTAATAGTCCATTATAATCGAATACAAACACACACTGGCACCCATACACACATCTTCTTTATCCATTTATCTATTAATGGACACTTGGGTTGTTTCTATATTTTGGCTATTTTAAGCAATGAGGCAGTGAACACAGGGGTGTGGATATCTCTTTGAGTTGGTATTTTTGTTTTCTTCAGATAAATACCCAGAAGTGGGATTACTGCATCATATGATAGTTCTATTTTTAATTTTTTGAGGAGCCTCCAGACTGTTTTCTATAGTGGCTGCACCAATTTACAATCCCACCAACATTGTATAAGATCTCCCTTTTCTCCACATCCTCACCAATACTTTTGCTATTTTGTCTTTTTGATACTGGCCATTTTGACTGGTATGAGGTGGTATGTCATTGTGGTTCTGATTTGCATCTCCCTGATGATGAGTGATGCTGAGCATCTTTTCATGTGTCCATTGGCCATCTGTATGTCTTTGGAAAAATGTTCATGTCTTCTGCCCATTTTTAAATCAGGTTTGGTTTTTTTAATATTAATTTGTGTACATTCTTTATATGTTTTGGATTTTAACCCCTTATCAGATGTATGACTTGCAGGAATCTTTTCCCATTCAGTAGATTGCCTTTTTGTTTTGTTTACAGTTTCTTTTATCATGCAAAACCTTTTCAGTTTGATATAATTCTGTTTGTTTATTTTAACTTTTGTTGCCCTTCCCACAGGATACTGGTCCAAAAAAATACTGCTATGACTGATGTCAAAGAGCTTACTGCCTGTGTTTTCTTCTAGGAGTCTTATGGTTTCAGTTCTTATGTTCAAATCATCAATCCATTTTGAATTTTGTATATAGTGTAAGGTAGTGACCTAATACTCTTTTGCATGTAGCTGTCTAGTTTTCCCATCATTTATTGAAGAGACTCTTTTTCCCCATTGTTTATTTTTGTCTCTTTGTTATAGATTAATTGATGATATAAGTGTGGGCTTATTTCTGGTCTCCATTCTAGTCCATTAATACATGTGTCTGTTTTCATACCAGTACCACACTGTGTTAATTACTATAGCTTTGTGGTATAGTTTTTTTTTTTTAAGATTTTATTTATTTATTTGAGAGAGAGAGAATGAGAGAGAGCATGAGAGGGAAGAGGGTCAGAGGGAGAAGCAGACTCCCCGCTGAGCAGGGAGCCCGATGTGGGACTCGATCCCGGGACTCCAGGATCATGACCTGAGCCGAAGGCAGTTGCTTAACCAACTGAGCCACCCAGGCGCCTGCTCTGTGGTATAGTTTGAAATTAGGGGGCACGATACCTCCAGCTTTGTTCCTTCTCAGTATTGCTTTGGCAACTTGGGATCTTTTGTACTTCCATTCAAACATTAGGATTCTTTGTTATAGTTCTATGGAAA